ACTTATGTCACCAATCTTTCGTTTGAATTCAAATATTTTCGCCTCTCTAACATGAACGCCAACTCCTTGCTGTTCAGAAAGTTACCAATCGACATTTTCGGAGAGAAATAACTTTCTGCTGGTTTCGATTGTGATCCGATCTGATGAGACGGGAAGATGCAAATACAGGCGGAATCGGGACTAGTGTGTGGAAACATCAATTGACCGACGAGATTTGATGGAAATTCACCCGTCAGCAGATTGAGTACTAGATGATACGCCTAATAGGCCAGGCCCAGGATGGTCGCAGATGAGCTCGGAATGACTGGTGCTAGGATCGAACCAGGAACCTTTCGATTACCCACATGATGTGGGCTTCATTAGTTTCGCAACGTTGTGGATTGACTTACTAAACAAGAGCACCAATGAGCATCAAAACGAGTATTTTACACCAGTTCGGTGAAAAAGGATTATACGTTGTGGCGAAAAGGCGCCTTTAGCCGAAATACTCTAAGTTGACGCAGACACATCATCTGCTCAGTGTTGTTATTACGCGGGTAAGGAGACGAGAATCTAAGAAAGAAAAATTAATTCAAAACCTTCCTATGGCGTTTATGTTATTGGATTGACATAGAAATGATAGTATTCAATTATACGTGCTCCAATTTAACTTGGAAAGATCGAAAGAATAATATCAACATTTTTCACGTCGATCGAGAATCCCGACGCTTTTTTTCCGAAAAAAGTCATTGAAAATTACAACAGGGTGATGATAACACTCACCGGGTAAATCTCGATCGACTAGAATGGTCAGGAATGGTATAGCTGATGGGTTACTGTACCTAACATCGACATGAAATAATATCTTGTGCATGCGTGCAAGATTCATACCAGCTTATTGTGCCATCCGGATGGACAACAGCTGCTGTAATATCTTCTTCTTTTTCAAATATATCTAGAGAAGGGGGACGACGTTTCGGTGTTCTGAAAGAGTAAAGACATATCTTCAAGTCGATTTAATAAAGTAAAGGAATGAGCCCAGTTTGGTAATTAAGTTGACTGTAGAGGATTAAGATAACTAGAGGTACTTACATTGCACTCTTCCGACTTGCCCCTTCTGGGGAGTTATGCTCAAGCTGCTCGATTGGACTCTGAAAATTTATTCATGCACAGCCGACTCAGCACCCAGGCCTTACCTGATTCGAAGTTTTCTCGGAAATACTGTACTCAGTAGCGTTGGCCTGGACAGCCCCGCTCTCACATCGACAAGATGGTGTAGTAGACATAATAGCGTGCTATAGACAACACTATGAAAGATCCCTGGATCCACTCCCAGTCGAGTCATTATTCTCATCCACTTATTTGAGAAATTATTCCACAAGATGCTCCAACTCAAAACCCAAATTTACACAAAAATGAAGGGTAATACTCAACGCGTTATGTATAATTTACAACATATCTTCCTCGACAATATTCCGACAAGACAATTTGGCAGCCCTGTTCCATGATGTACTCATAGACAACTCAAGAAACAGTTTCACTCCCGAAAAAACCTTCAACTTGATACCACAGCGATACTGCGATACTAACACCGAATGAATGATGAGGACGAATCATTCACATATACTTTAATTAATGACGAGTTATTATTCAGCTATCCAGACAATGGTACTCATGCGAATGATCATTGATAAGGATGTGATAACTCGAACAACAAGTACTGTCATTTTCAATACACTGAAGGCGCTACTGCCCGAAACTTTGTAACGATATTTCCCTCGACGATTGGGGTGTTAATGATAATGTGATGAGTGATGAGAATAAGACTGGTAATACTACAATTCACAATTACTATATAAATAACAGAGATAATTCCGAGGAAAAACGTAATGAGGAAAACATCATCATAACAATCCACATTCATGGAGGATACTCTACAAGAGTCTAATACAGAAGACATGTCGTGATCATCACTTCAACTGATAATAATAATACTTACACAGTCACAACATCCATACAGCATTGATTTAATTACGGTATTTGATACTGGTGATGATAGTGAAGGCAAAAGAGACCATTAAGGTCAATCACTATGATGATGATGATGAGCATCGAAGAATCGATAAATCGACCAATACGTCAAACAATGACCACCACCACCCCCGATGACCAGATCCATCTATACCGAAAAATGGAGAAACTGAGAATGATACTTCGAGTTAGTGTTGTTGTTGTGAGACCAGTTATGATATGTGATAGTAGTAGCAGTGGTTTTACAACTTCTCGAGAGGAATCAATGGTAACATAATGATCATAATTATGATAGGAAAAACTGCACGCTTCGAGGACTTCACGAAAGCGGACAGGGAAACTTGAAACTCTTCTTCCACTTCATCACCCGCAGGCAAGAGCCTACAGCTGAGGTTTTGTTCTTGTTGTTGTTTTTGAGTTATCATCATGCACTAGGGCACGAAGTAATATAATATTCCCGAATCATTGAGGTGAAAACACCATTTAGGCGCTTCCATTCCGGACTTGACAGTCAACATCATCTGGAGAGAGCCTGAATTAAAAATGATGCACCTCTCAAGAATAGAACCCACAACCTCCCGGATACAATAATTCGGCTAAGCGCTTAACGACTCGACCACCTAGCAACATATTTTCACTCACTTCTGAATTCTCCCATCATCAACTCCAGTGATGCCTTCATCATCTGTTATAATCCTAAGACAATAACAACATGCTAAAGTCATCGCCACAATTTCCTTGCCGTTGCCCGGCTCGAACAGCAGTAACTTATACTCGTTTTCCACACATGAAAACTAAACCATTAAGTGAATCGATTATTTATCCTTCCAATTTTGAGAGTTCGAAGAATATCCAATTTCACTAACCTCATAAATGTAATAACAATGTGAATCGGTTGATGCCGTTCAGAAGAATTATCCCAGTCCATAAATCTACTTCATGTTTTCAAAAACACGAATTCACATAACTATGTTTCAACTAGTGATAATTCAATCTTACTAATCGAGTACTACAAACAGATGTTAACTTTAGAAGTTCTATTATGGTGAAGTTTCAACAATCTCGGATATTTACGAAGTGGAAACTCAAATCGAAATCGACTAAAATTGTGATCATCTTTTCAACTCATTCGCGAAAGAAAATTCCCTCAACGCTATAAATGAGTTCCGCGAAATCCAATGATAAAAAAACTCGCGTATGAATTTTCTGATTTCTCTTCATTAAAAATATCAATCCGCAACTTACTCTATTTTCACAAACCTTTCCCTCCGATGACGATGTCGTCCATCACCAGCTCGGCGCTTCTCAACCAATTTTCTATCCCTCATATTTGCCGATCTTGAAGATTCTCTGGAGACCGAGCTCGACCTAATATACAACAAAAGATTCTTACGCACAGCGAAGAATATCTATTATTTTTTACGGGGAAGCAAATTCTGAAACTATACATGTAAATGCTCATATTATAAATGTTTACCAAAACTTCTACAACTCGAATATTGCGATTTCAGTACAGTTTTCCGTAGAATTTTCTCCCACATTTTTTGCATAAATTCCGATTCCCAACTCACTTATCGCTCTCCAATTTGTGACCGATTTGAATACCCGAATTGTGGTGACGACGCTCAGCCAGGGGAAGATAAAACAGCGGCCTGGATAGGAGAATCTTAGGTTCACCATGGTAAGATACAAAACAGGTTACCCCATCTCGTCATCATCATCATCCTCTACAATTAACATTCTTCCACGGTAACTTGCATCATGTGAGTTCTAAAGATAATCTTCGCTGTGCGATACTAAGATACTCCTTTCACCCTCACCTTATCTGGATTCCTAGGAAGCCCATTCACTTGAGAATCAACAACCACAGCAATTGGCATCTTTAAAGAAATTAAATGAAAACTTCCTATTACCAAAAGTATATATAAATCATACCGACGACCACTCATCGATTAATAGATACCCTTTTAATATGCGCACGCGTGCAAAACATGCACGCCCTAAAAAATATGAAAATTTACCTGTTGATGATGACGATAGAAAAATTTTGAGGAAATTTCGGGAAAATTTCTTATTGATTTCAGTACACTTCCACCCAAATTCATATGTCTTTCGAAACTCCCGAGGAAAGCGAACATATATTCCTCCAACACTGCACCCAATATCACACTTCAGCTTAGCCATCACAGGTTCGATCCCCGGCACCTGCATTTTTCCGCTACCAACTTCGCGAATTTATTGAAAATTCTCATCAACTATTCTGGTCGATGACAACGATAAATTTATTCTTCATTTTTGAATACTCATACCATAAATCGTTTCCCATGCAAATTCCTGAGCAGTTTGAGAAGCCATATATTCCAACACTAATTCTTCACGAAATTCATAAAGTGACTGCCTACAGGTTATATAGATTTCAGACGATAATCGATCACGTGATCGATTTGTCCAAGTTCATAAATATATATATTCCACGCCGAGATGGAACTCGCGACCAATTATTTTAAGGAGAATCTTATGACTGCCACATAGGGTATCTTAGGTTCATGATGGTAAGATACAAAATAGGCCCAATTGAAGCCTCAACACAACATGTCAAAGATATCACCACGCACTTCAAAGAATCTTCATACTTCAACTACCTTCATCCTACCTCAAAGATTCCCCAATTACATGGTAATGTAAAAAGCGCTCGCCCTCGTGATCGATTCAGAAACAGTAATTATTAATAATCTATATATAGCATGCTGCGGCAGTCCACCCACCCGAGTTCGATTCCCAGGGGACTAATTTTGCGACTTTTTTGCAGGGCGATTTATACACCAAAAATTTCCAAAGTCACTCAGCAGCGTTAGAAATAATGGAAAACAGAACGATATAAAATCGATCAGCTGATCGATATAATCGATCGACCGATCGATCAGTAATTCATTACCTAAATAATCTTGCTCTCTTACCAAATCTTGCATTTCCTCAACGCTATGCTTACCCTATGAATTGGAATTAGAAGATTCCTCACGACCATTCACCGAGCCAACTAGTATCCTGAAAAATGATATCCAAGGTTCAACGATGCAAGATTCAAAATAGGTCCACAAACATACCACTTACTCGAGCCGCCTAGTAGTAGTAGTAGTAGTACAACATCGACTCGAACGAGGCGTATCTTTTATTCTGCGGACCACCAATGCGGGCAAACGGAATATCTCCGACGACCTACATACAGCACTGTTATAAAAATGGTTAACATGTACCAAAATTACAGCGGAGCGATGCAACCCTCATCATCATCCATCACAATTACCGTCCTCCTAGTCGACATCAGTGCTCGTTGTGAATCTATCTACACATACAACATAAAAGATTCCACAACGCACAGCGAAGATTTTTCCAAACATGAAATCTTATAACAATATAATCTATATTATAATCATACCACAATATACTCTACAACCTGAACAACTATTCAAAGTAACTTAACTCTCACATATACACAGCCCACCAAGGTTCGATCCCCACACCATGCATTTCATAACAACATTTCCCATCAACATGTTGATGCCCACAGCACTACTATACATATATATTTAAATATAAATAAATATCATTCGATCGAGGTTCGATTCCCACACCCTACATTTAATGATGACCTCCTTTTCTTAACTTCAGCAATAGGAAGGCGTGGCACAAACGATGGTCGGGTGGACATCAAAGAGAAAGAGAACAAATCTGGACCTATTTTGAATCTTACACATCCAACCTCAAGATACCACCATCAAGTAAATGGATATAAAATATGATGAAAATTATCCCCACCTGGAAAACGATACAATAAATATCCGAGGTTCAACCATATAAGATCCAAAACAGGCCCAAAAGAGGACCACGAACCTGTTCGCCACTTCAAAAGATATCTAAACGACTACCAACATTGGAGAAATATATGTTCGCTTTCCTCAGCTGCTGAGCTCAGGAGTTTCCAAAGCTGATTATAAAATTTTACATACGAATTCAATTACAAGTGTATAGAAGCCCAACAATAATTTTCCAAATATTTCCTCGAAATTTTCATATCGTCATCACCAACACATGTAGTTGATGACCATGTGCATATTTTTCTACTCACAAATAACAACCTCCAAAAAAAATATTTTTCATAAAATTTTTTAGAGAACTCAACACAATTCATTTTTCAAGTAACGATTTCTTATCGTGCAGTAAGCGGCTTACTGTAAGCCTACATTCTACCCTACCTCAACACATATCTCTTATCGATCACCTGATCGATTTCATCCATACCAAAACCGTCTCAATACGAAAACATGCACATGGTCAACTACATATAACAAAAAAATTGGTTTTTTTACACTACTACGCAAAGTCATTTATATTCATACCGTAATTTCGGAAACTCAATAGTAAAAAAATGTACGAATTTCCGTAAAATTTTACTTTACATCAACACATGAATTTGAAAATTGTTAAAAACCTGAGCGAAACCGTTACACAAATTTATCATTTTTTCATATTTCTTTCAAACTCCTCCAGAATACTTCTATGAACGTTTTGCCAATCGATTCACGTTCAAGCTCATGATGATACCAATATTAGATCTTCAAACTGTCAAATTCAAATATGATTACCTTTTACGAATTTTCGCATTCCTGAATCGCTTCGCTCCGCCCAACTTCAACTGTTGGAGTTGCCTCGTTCGTCAACAACTCCAAGTCGAGAGCTCCATCATGCTTGACAATGTGCTCTGAAAATATATCAAAAATAAATCTTCAAATATCATCAATAATAATCGATCACGTAATCGATTATAGTATTGATATTAAATTCTACAATTTTTCCTGAATATTCCCCAAAAATTTCCGAAAATATATAAATTTTATCGCCGTTATTGGAAAAGGGATTCCTATAAAATTTCACCACTTTTACGTGAAGTGGCTTAATACTCTGTGAAAAACCCGATATTCGCGGCGATATGCAATAGTCGTGAAATATGTTTTTCATATCACTAGGATGGACCTCCAAAATTTTAACTCTTCAAAATATTAATCGATCACGTGATCGATTATCTCATTAAATATATATTCTAAATAAAACTCAATAATTACTTGTATACACTCCTCACCTAGATATCAATCAAATTACATCCACACGAGATCCCCGGTTCGATTCCCAGCCCCTCCATTTCTACCCAATGAATCCGTCAAAAGTTGAATTTCATTTCCCAACTGCGTCAAGTCCGGCTTCAATAGAAACTTCACAGACTTCATCCTGCCACAGCCATTTACCAAATCGATCATCTGGGCGCGCGCTTTTTGCTCACCAGCTGTTCGCCGTCCTCTGAGTCGGAATATTTCCCAAAGTTACTCTCATCAATGCTTCCCTTTCGTGTGGGGAATCCCCAATCGAAATTACATTTCGCCAAGACCTACAATACGAAATATTAATACTCGAATTCGAACATACGTGTTTGAAAAAAGTAAACATAAAACTCTTCAACTGTTTGCTAATTGTGGAGCGAGCGAAGCATATACCGCAACAACCGCCACTTTCGCGTTGTGCGTGCGTGCAGAATTATTCTATCTTAACTACGAGGCTATCAGATATGTCAAACGACTCCTCTATATGTTAAAAATCGGAAAACTCGACTATGCGAACAGCTCGGAGAGATATGCACGAAAAACTTTAATGATGGAAAAATGTCCCACCCGGGGATCGAACCGGGGACCTATGTAAACTACATTGATTGAGTCCTTCGTCACGAGGGCCTAGTTTGAAAATAAAACTAAACATCCAATCACGACTACCAACATTGGAGAAATATATGTTCGCTTTCCTCAGCTGCTCAGCTCAGGAGTTTCCAAAGCTGATTATAAAATTTTACATACGAATTCGAATACAAGTGTATAGAAATCCAACAATAATTTTCCAAATATTTCCTCGAAATTTTCATATCGTCATCACCAACACATGCAGTTGATGACCATGTGCATATTTTTCTACTCACAAATAACAACCTCCAAAAATTTTTTTTCATAAAATTTTTTAGAGAACTCAACACAATTCACTTTTCGAGTAACGATTTGTTATCGTGCAGTAAGCCTACATTCTACCCTACCCCGACACATATCTTTTATCGATCACCTGATCGATTTCATCCATACCAAAACAATCTCAACACGAAAACATGCACATGGTCAACTACATATAACAAAAAAATTGGTTTTTTTACACTACTACGCCAAGTCATTTGTTTCCATACCATAATTTCGGAAACTCCGTAGTAAAAAAATGTATAAACTTCCGTAAAATTTTACTTTTCATCAACACATGAATTTGAAAATTGTTAAAAACCTGAGCCAAACCGTTACACAAATTTATAAATTTTTTCATATTTTTTTCAAGTTCATCCGGAGTACTTCTATGAACGTTTTGCCAATCGATTCACGTTGATGATGACACCAATATTAAATCTTCAAACTGTCAAATTTAAATATGATTACCTTTTACGAATTTTCGCATTCCTGAATCGCTTCGCTCCGCCCAACTGTTGGAGTTGCCTCGTTCGTCAACAACTCCAAGTCGAGAGCTCCATCATGTTTGACAATGTGCTCTGAAAATATATCAAAAATTAATCTTCAAATATCATCAATAATAATCGATCACGTAATCGATTATAGTATTGATATTAAATTCTACAATTTTTCCTAAATATTCCCCAAAAATTTTCGGAAATATATAAATTTTATCGCCGTTATTGGAAAAGGGATTTTTATAGAATTTCACCAGTTTTACGTGAAGTGGCGTAATACTCTGTGAAAAACGCGATATTCGCAGCGATATGCAATAGTCGTGAAATATGTTTTTCATATCACTAGGGTGATGGACCTCCAAAATTTCAACTCTTCAAAATATTAATCGATCACGTGATCGATTATCTCTAAATATATATTCTAAATAAAACTCAACAATTTATTGTATACATTCGTCATCTAAATATCAAGTACACCCACACGAGGTCCCCGGTTCGATTCCCAGCCCCTCCATTTTTACCCAATGAATCCGTCAAAAGTTGAATTTCATTTCCCAACTGCGTCAAGTCCGGCTTCAATAGAAACTTCACAGACTTCATCCTACCACAGCCATTTACCAAATCGATCATCTGGGCGCGCGCTCTTTGCTCACCAGCTGTTCGCCGTCCTCTGAGTTGGAATATTTCCCAAAGTTACTCTCATCAATGCTTCCCTTTCGTGTGGGGAATCCCCAATCGAAATTACATTTCGCCAAGACCTAAAATACGAAATATTAATACTCGAATTCGAACATACGTGTTTGAAAAAAGTAAACATAAAACTCTTCAACTGTTTGCTAATTGCGGAGCGAGCGTAGCATATACCGCAACAACAGGCACTTTCGCATTGTGTGTGCGTGCAGAATTATTCTGGCTTAACTACGAGGCTATCAGATATGTCAAACGACTCCTCTATATGGGAAAAATCGGAAAATTAGATTATGCGAACAACTCGAAGAGATATGCACGAAAAACTTTAATGATGGAAAAATGTCCCACCCGAGAATCGAACCGGGCTGGACCTATGTAAACTTCATTGATTGAGTCCATGGACGTGGACTCAGTGAGCTCCTTCGTCACGAGGGCCTAGTTTTATAATAAAACTAAACATCCAATCACGACTACCAACATTGGAGAAATATATGTTCGCTTTCCTCAGCTGCTCAGCTCAGGATTTTCCAAAGCAAATTATAAAATTTTACATACGAATTCAATTACAAGTGTATAGAAATCAAGTAAAAATTTCACCAAAATTTCCTCATAATTTCAATATTATCACCAACACATGTAGTTCACCATATGCATATGCTCCCGCATAACATTATAATGTAATGCATCACCCTGTGCGCAGCTAGTATATATATAAAAGATATCTTTCACATCTATATATCACCATGCGTAAACTAAGATACCTCCCAAAAAATCTTCCCTGTGCGCAGCTAGCATATATATAAAAGATATCTTTCACATCTATATGTCACCATGCGTAAACTAAGATACCTCCTTAAAAATCTTCCCTGTGCGTAACTAGCATATATATGAAAGATATCTTTCACATCTATATATCACCATGCGTAAACTAAGATACCTCCTTAAAAATCTTCCCTGTGCGTAACTAGCATATATATAAAAGATATCTTTCACATCTATATATCACCATGCGTAAACTAAGATACCTCCCCCTAAAATTCTTCCCTGTGCGCGGCCGCCACCACCATCACGACTACCTGTGCATAACAGAGCTCTGCATCCACAAATTCGATGGTTGTTCGATTAAATGCGAATTAACTCCACTCATAGGCGTAGCACCTATCTAAGCAAATCGATCACGTGATCGATTTGGATACTCACAGCGTTGACCATCGATGATATCTCTGAATGCATGAGCTTTCCATCCCGCCGGACTTTTAACACCCTTATGCTCAAACGCACCTGCCCAAAAATTATACAAAAATTTTGTTGCAAAAAATTACTCGAAATTTTTGCGAATTTTTCCAATTCTCAACAGTGTTGGAATATATGATAGGTTTCCTCAACCGCTAAACTCGAGAGTTTTCCGATTTCCCGAAAAAGTTCATCAAAACCAACGGAAATGCCCTTCTCATTCTCATCAACATACATTGGAGTTTTACGATCCGTTTTACGTGAAGTGGCGTAAAACTCCGTGAAAAACGCGATATTCGCGGTGATATGCACTAGTCGTGAAATGTGTTTTTCATATCACTAGGGTGAAACTCTTTAGTCCACATTTTTCCACACTGCATTTGAAATCAAATCTTGCAATCTTGCTCCCACTTGCATTTCCTCAACGCCACATATCCTACTTCGCGCACTGCAAATTTTCACCGCTAAATTTTGAAGCAGCAGTTCTAATGATGGTAGCCACTTTCGGCACGACAACTCAAACCATCCTTCCTGAGAAGAAAGGGCACAAATCATTAAAACATTCTACTTCCAGATGTGGGGAGATATTCACATGCGTTGATAACAACAAGGAAATTCTCGAGCTGTTTCTTGGTAACTTCTAAGTTTGTTGTTCTTTCAGATGAAAATTATATAACATATTTTCCTACACTGATCTCGCGTAGTTTCGAAATATGCAAATAAGAAAAAGCTACCAAAATATTTTCGAGAAAAAAATTCACATAAAAATGTAATTCTATATAACCAGTACGATGAATAACTTTCCAGAATCATCACCACATACATTCCAGAATGCTAAAATCCGAATCACAATTTTCCCGCATTTTCTGCCCACAATTTCGGCAAAAAATACGAGTAAAAGAAATCGAAGATTTTTATAAATGACATAATTGATAGCCTTCCGAGTTGATATTCATTTCTGCAGCAAAATATTTTACACGCAGGAAAGATGCAAAAAAGTGATAACGAATGTGACTCTGTTGATTTCACAGTATATATAGATTCCAATAAGAAAATATAAGATTTAATATGATAATCGATCACACGATCGATTTATTGATGAATAGTGTTAAAATGAGTCTGTCGTCGAAGCATGCCGGGATCGAACCCACTACCTTTCCCTCCCTACCTGAGCGTTAGTGACTATAACCACTTTACCTAATGAAGCGGCCTTCCGAATCATCTTGGCGGCGAGCTCGGCCAACTCCGATAGCGAATCGATGCATGTCTCGGGTACGAATGGATCGCAAACCTAATTGGGAAAAAATCGTGAAATTATCAAGATTTACGGTAAAAAGTTACGGTTAAAATTCACCGAACAAATACCAGCGAAAATTATGGGAGATATCATTCATCCGAAATTGAAGAACATCACAAAAGAGCTAAAACATCTTTTTCCACACAGGAAAATTCTTTTTCACATTTTTCCTCACAACCCAGTAATAAACAATGATTTTTCCGGAAAACAAAAAAACTTCGCTCCGCCTTTTTTATTACATTCAAACCGTTCACTTTTGCCCAAGTTGTCGGACAGATGGTATCATCCCAATCGAAAATCAGCAAAGTTTGTACTCTCGCCGGAGTCGCTGAGAATCTCCCATTTTTTTGGTGTTTATCACATTACCTTACTCGGAGTAGTCAATAAAGATTCTTTCAATGGCGTCGGGGTAACACCAATAGTAGTGCTGGAAAAATGCAACATGCCGGGATCGAATGCGTAGCTTTCTCCCCACCTCCCATTAGAAATATCCCCCTCCTTTTCATCATCATCGGCCTCCGCTGGTGTCAACAACACCGTGAACATAGAATGGTCGTGATTTTCGATAGGATTCAATTCACCCTCTTCTCGAGAAGATCCTTTCGGTGTCATCATTACGCCACTTCCAACATGTGTGAATGTAGCCGTCGGAAAACCTTGAAAACCTCAAAAGAGTGAATTCGATCAAATCGATCGGATGATCGATTTATCATATTGAGGAAATTTCACAATCAAAAGACGTAAAAACTATCTGGAAAGAGAATTTAATAAGTAATAAAGTAATTTAAGCAAGCTTAAAAATCCGAAAACTCAAATCGATCAGTTGATCGATTAAATCGATTGGTTGATCGATTAAATCGATCACTCCACTTTCCCATACTACTATTCACATGTGAATGACCTCGGCGACTTAAAACGTCGCGACTTTCGTTTTCCGCGTCCCCATCAAAATCCAACTCTAGACATCTGCGGTTACCTAAATCGATCACGTGATCGATTATCCAATATCTTAGATTCAGAATAGGTTACCTTTAGTCTGAATCGGAGTTCCCTCTTGAAGATCTTCCATTGAAATCGGTTCCTCATTTTCAGCGGCTTTTTCAGTCGAAGGAGTGGCAAACATTTAAATGGAAATCAATCAATACTCAAATGAAATCGATCGTCTGATCGATTACATCATAGAAATGAAAGAAAATTCATCGCTGTTTTCCACGTCGGAAATTTCTCATAAAAACCCAGAAAAAAATCCAGAATTTTACCCAAAAATATACACAAAATATTTTTGGTGTGAATAAATTCCCAAGAAGATGACGATGCTACTTAATCCACCAAACTTCCCCTCGTAGTGAAATTGGTCCATCCATATCGATCACGTGATCGATTTCACACCGTCTCCTCGACAAAACCTCCCAAAGACGATTTTACAATTCTTGCTCTTGGTACATACCCCAACCTATTTTGAATCTTACCAAGCCAACCTAAGATATTTATCACTCATGCATAATCGTTGACACTATCGCACTGGATTGAACCAACCAAATCACAAAAAAACGAAAAAATGATGGAAAACTCCAAATAATTCCGATTGTCGAAAAAGTTTTTTGTTTTAATCGATGAAAACCAATGGAAAAAACGAAAAAAAATACCAGAAAAATCACAATCCTAGAAACTATCAATGTTTCCTCCAAAAATGCCCTCACCAGAGTTCGAACCCGGAGCCTTTCGACTACCTCAATTTTCCCATTTTCCTCAGCCGCTGCTGAATTGGTGAATGCCCCCAGGGCTTATGAAAACAACCTGAGTAGTTTTATACAAATATGTAGTAAACTTTAATAATAAAGTTTATATGTAAATTTTTAATAAGATCATTCATTACTCTTTTTATGAAAAGAAAACGGCAAATTTTAATATATTCATTCGCAATGAGACTTCTACTACATTCCTGAGACCTCTTTATGGTGGGATAAATGTACCCAACCAAATTTCACATACAAACGTAGCTCCTGAGAATACGATGATTCTAAAAAGTGAGCTAATTTCAAGGGTATAACAAATCACACGAAATTTCTATCACCAATTTGAGAAGACATTAATACCAAGAATTTCACCATCATGGAATTCTACTATGTGTTTCGTTTCCGGATGGTCTTTTACCTAACCTAAACCGTATCTTACATTCCCAACCTCAAGATATCATACCAGGGTTATTGTAGCATGGTCTTTGATGAGCTCGGTCGAGGACGGAGGGTGAAAATCGCTGAAGAAATTTACGTTGAACGCGACGAATTTCTGGGCTTTTCGTATTGATCTTTGGTAAATTATTCGCTGTGCGTAAAGATTCATTCCAGGCCCAGTAAGATTTGAATCGGCTATCACGTGTGATTCATAAACTAGTTTATAACGCGCTCAAACTGAGAAGATATCTTCCACGAGCGCAGAAACCATTGGAGTGTTTGAGAACATATCTTTGCGCACAGCGAAGATTTTTGAAATCTCATTAAAAATGATATACCGCTCCCTCGAATTCATTATAATTTTCGAACTCATCACTCTATTGATAAATCGGCAAAAATTAAATTCAAAAATTCATTCCAGGATGAAATTATATCGCGGCGAAATTACAAGCACGAAAGATTGAGTTAACGATGGGGAGTAGCAACGCCTTTTGTTAATCACACAAAAGGCGTCGGAAGATCTTTCCCTCGCCGAGTGTCACCAGTCACCACTAGTTAGAATTAATTTTGGCTATACGTATGTCGGTGATCAACACGCTCCACGACGGAAAGGGAACTTTACCAATCATAATATTTTATAATAACTTCGACTTCACGACGATGAGGAAACTGCTCCCCGTAGATTGAATAGTCTTGATAAGGTAGACGTAATAATTCTAACTTCATTTTCGACTCGAACTTAAAAAAAACTAGTGAGCAATTTATTTCACGACTACTGCATATCACTGCGAATATCGGGTTTTCCGTGGGGATTTACGCCACTTCACGTGAAACGGGTGAGGCTCCATTAGTTCAGAGCGAAAGTAAATCACTTCATATTCTTAGGACGTATCTTAGGGTTGACATGGCAAGATACGGAAGATGCCTTATTGAAAAATATAATGAAAAAAT